GGGCGGGTGCGGCGAGCCGGGGCGCTCCGCGCCAGCGGGGCCTGAGCCCGTCCTTGCTCGTGAGGAGAAACGAAACCCGGCGCTGCCCTTCGGGTGAAACCTTTTCGACCTGCAGCACGGAGTTTCCTTTCGCTTCATTTTTCAAGTGTGAGTTAAAGTGACGTAGTTAAAATTGGGCGGAAAGCTGTATAAACTCCCTAGGGTAAAGCCAGTTTATTTCAATTTTTGATCAGGACCGGAGTGTTAAACTAGCTCACCTTTAAATGGAAATGAGTGTAGTCACTACTAGTTTACACCAGAGCAAATCATTAGGCCTCATACAATGATGAGGAACGTGGAAGTTACCGTGGGCTTTCCCTGAATGCCTCGTAGCAGATCCTCTTTCTTTACAGGGGTATTTGAAACTTGTATAACACGCCCTGACATATGCAACAGTTTGAAAGACGTCAGATGATACATGCTCAAAATGAGCGCTGACCACCTCTGCATCTTAAAGCAGGGGGAGGGGCCACAACATACAGGTAGTACCTCCTTGTAGCAAGGTAACCCGCTCTCTTTGCCTGGCGTAGGGGCTCCTACTTGGGCTCGTCCTGTGAAACAAAGAGGGCTTTCCAAACAAGAACTACACTTACTGATGATATATCCCGTTTTTGCTGCTGTAGAGATGTTTACTACAGTTGTGAAACGTTCAAGAAACAAATGCTGTCTCAACTGACAGACTGTAATTGGAGATGACTTTTAAAGTGTGAAAGGTTTCCCTGCTTCTCTTGAAAGACTTCTGCTTCTTAATTTGAGGCCTGATAGATGACTTTGTCATAATTAGTACAGGACACTTTTTTGCCTTGCTAATTGAACTGATGTTAGTATGTTGTGCAGCATTTGTTTTGCAAAAAGTAAAATTGCTTGAGCCTTGTACATACACGGGGGGAGTTAACAGAGCCTTACAAGTCTTTGTGAAGTTCTAGGATATTGTTATTTCCCGCACCTTAACAAAAAAAAAAAAAAAAAAGAATCCTGGTCCTTGATTTTGGATGTATTCTGCCTGGATTCTGGGCAGTGAGAAAGTTCAGAAAATAGGAGTATAATTCATTTTATTACTCTCATAGAAGCCAATTAACATACTGATATTTTCTTAGCTCTTTGCCTAGCGTGGAAGGGAAATGACTATTGTGGTCTGAGAAATATACTTGCTAATTTTCTCAGGTATTTTATCTTAATAAATCCTTACTTACAGTGTAATATCCAGGGTCAAAAGTCAGTGCAGACTTAGATAAGCATGCCCTCGACAAGGATGGTTTCCCATTGCAGTAGGTGAGAAATTCATTAAGGAATGTCCATTCAGACTTAAAATCTTCCACTTCCTTAAGGAAAGTTAAAAGCAGTAACTCGTATTTGAGTGTGCTTTTGTAGTAATCCTCTTGAGACATGTTTTCTCTCAATCCTCTTTTGGGGTGACAAGGTGACTGATGAGTCACTCTAGAATCAGTCATTTTTTCAGAGACCTTATGACTATTTTCCACAAGAGCGCTTGCCCTGTGAAAATTTGGTGTGATTGTGAACTGAAATAGCTAGACTTACAGAAAACTGCCTCCTCCCCTGTCCTTCTCCCTCGAGGTGCCTGGGGCTTTCCTGGTTCTTTGATTACAGGAACAAAAAAGTAGTTCTTTGTTCCATGTGTAGGCTTGGCCCCTTCACTCACTCTGCCCCTGATATTACTGAGGCAGCCTTGCAATATCCTCAGATAACAGCGGTGTAGGTTGTTGTGTTACAGTTGTGCTATTTGCAATGATTTTAGATTTTATTTAAATGGAAATAAGTGTAGTGCTTCAGGCACAGCTGATTTTTTTAAGGTACGGAGCACCGTCTCTTTTAAATATCTTCCTGCTCTGTAACTTCTGTGCCGAAATCTTTATGCAGTGGAAGCAACACTGAACGGAACAGAAGAGGAAAGTCTTTAAGTATTTTCTTGCAGCAATATTGGCAAATTACATGCACACATGAACACATAAACTACAGGAACAGCTTTCTCTGCTGACTGTGAACTTGTTTCTTTTCTCCTCAAAAGGTGTGCTGTTTTCCTCTCCCTCCATTTTGTAAAGAATTTACGTTCAGAAGCTCTTCTTGCTGCAGAGCCCAGGTAATCTAAAAATTGAGGGCTAGACTGCTGGGTTATGCATTCTGTCATTGCTTTTCTCTTTTTCTTTAGTTGTCCATGTTTCAGCTATAACTGCACCAATGATGTTTGCAAAAGCTATCGTTATCAGATGGAAGGGTGAAACAAGATGCCCTTCACCTCTCATGGAGAAGTGGGTCTGGCTAAAACGCGTGCAGATGGAATGCATCAGGTTTGCCCAAGTGATGTGAAATTCCTGCTTTTTTATGATTTTGGGTACAAGGTCATAAGCACAGTTTCAGATACTGGAATGCTTATTTCATGTTGCTTTTACTCATTCTCCAAACTCTGCAGGGGTGTGCACTATTGAGCATTGACTATATGTACACCGTAGTTTTTCCTGTTGTTTGATGTTTGAGTCCTGGTTCAGTAGACTATCTGGAATCAAGCAAAAGAATGTGTGATCCTAGCTCATTTTTATTTAGTTTCCTCCAATTAAATTAGCAAGTAACCCCCAGCTGATATTTGTAATATTGTTATTTGTCCAACAGAATATGAACTGAGATCATCAGCTCTGTATATGAACCGTCGTTGGAAAATGCTGGATGAAAACCAATGTATGCTGGATCTGGATGTGTATCAGTGAGACAGCCATGATCAGGTGTCTGTCTTTCAATGTTCTTGTGGGTAGAATCACATACAGGTAAGAGATTTGGCACTGGAAGTACTGCTCAGCATTTTTCTACAGTGAGCATGTAGATATCTCTTATATGAAGGGATTTGAAGAAAATAAATAGTTCATATGCATTTTCTAAAGGTAGATTATTTTTGAGGTGATGTATAAATAGTAATTTTGCATGTCTGAAATCTTAACTCTGTAGGAAGTTCCTCCCCC